TAAGCCTTTAGACAAAGCTTTATATCTTTAGCCAATTACAATCCAAAGAATCTTTAAACCCACCTATAACCTGTAAGCTCCCTCTCCCCAGCTTCGAGATGGCCCACCTTTTTGGGCCAAACCAATATATGCCTTCCATGTATTGATTGATGGCTTTACCGGTAACCGCTGTCTCTGAAACATATAAAACCAAACTGTAACCCAGCCACAGTGAGTCCACTTGCCCAAGGCCTCTTGGCAGTGGCTCCAGGTCATGGCCTCAAATTTGGCTCAGAATAAATCTCTTTAAAATTATTTTACAGAGTTTGGCTTTTTTCTGTTGACATAGTGGGCACATTATAAAGTATCCAATGTGGTATAATAAAAAGATTACATGTTATTAGGTATTATATAAAATAAAGCACTTAAGGTTATAAAAAAATAAAAGTAAAGTATGTCTCTTGTAGAGAGGATATAATTGTATCTTGCTTTTTTATCTACTCTCTACCTTTTATTTGGAATGTTCATTTATTTTTAGGGTAATTATTAATATGAATGTATTTAAATATAAAATTGCGTTATTTCCTATTTGTCTTATCTACTTTTTGCTATTCTGTTTCTCCATTCCTGCCTCCTTTGGGGTTAACTGAAATTTTTAGTATTCTATATTAATTTCCTCCATAGGCTTTTTAGCTCTGCCTTTATGAGTTTTTTGTTTGTTTTTAAGTGGTTGCTCTAGGCAGAGTTTATCACCTTGACATCACTGACATTTCAGACCAGACAGTTCCAGTTGTGAGGAGCTGTCCTGTGCACTGTAAGATGGTTGGCAGATTTCCTGGCTTTTACAACCCCAGATGCCAACAGCAATTCCTCCCCCAACCCTCTCACCCCACAACTGTGATGCTAAAAACATCTTCAGATATTTTTTGCCCAATGTTGCCCTGGGGAGAAAAATCACCACTGGATGAGAACCAGCATGCATCTTTGATTGAACAGTCTATTCATATTAATGTGAAGTTAATATCAATTAACTTCGCATAAAATAAAGGCATGTAGTTTACCTCCTATAAATTGTTATTGTGAGCACATACATAACATCTACATATGTTATAAACGTCACAATACACTGTTGTAATCTCTATTTTAAACATGTCTTTTAAAGAAATTACTTTCTAAAAAGAACTCCAAACTCTGTACTTCCTCAACAAAGATTCTTTGACCAAACTCTAGACAGGCCCCTCTGGGTTCTCTTTGGACTAGGGCTTGCCCTGGGGGCCTTGTCTTCAAGAGCCCAGTTGTAGCAAGAATCTTGTCAAGTCAGTTTAGCCAGAACCCCCACCCTAAATATCTGGCCACATTTCTCATCCTTCCCACCCCTCCCCCAGGTGGGGCTGGTCTCCCTGGCCCACCTTCAGTAAGAGTCCTGTAGGCCAGGCTAGCCAGAACCCCTCACCTGGATGTTTCCGTTTAGTTATTTTCCACTCACTGCCCCCACCTGCTCCTCGGCTACAAATCCCTGCTGTCTTTGCTGTATCAGAATTGAGCCCAGTTCTATTCTGGGCAACAGTTCCTTTTCCCCCCTGTTGCAATAGTTCCTGAATAAAATCTCTTTTTTCTGCCTCAGCTACTGTCCTGCTCTAGTTTTCCCACACTGTGCAGTGGGAAGTAGCTGAAATCTCTGACTGTTCTTTTAGTTTTCATCTATTCCTTTTGTGCTGAGCCCACTGGGGTCTCCCCATGTTTGTGTGCTTTAGCAAATCAGCCAAGAATTTGGGGCACAGTTTACCATCAGATTTGGGGGTAAACTGTGCCCCTGTTTGGGGCCCTCCATGGCCCTCTCCTTTCCAGGATTTCTTCATAACTTTACATCTGTTCTGCCAGCTCCAAATGTTGTCATCTGACACATCAAGCCAATAAGGCTGAGGCTTCCAGCTGTTCTGAGTGATGCGAGGGACCTTCAGGCCAAAAGCTGCAGGTTGCAAATCTACTCATGTGGTTCCTGACTTCCATGAACTGACTCTATACCAGTTACTGCCTTCTTTTGGTCATGCTCCAGTGCCTACTGTCAACCTAAAATAATCAAAAAGGTCAGAATCTTGTTTAAAGAGAGTTTATTCAAGCACACAGGTTGAGAATGGGCCTGGCTGGGAAGCACAAAGTGTAGACCTGCAGAAGTGTTCCCAACTGTGGAAGTGTGGGATTGCTTATGTAGACAAAGGGTACGGAGCTTGAACAGAAGGTCAACATCTTTCTATGCAGTACTGAATGCATTGTTATAATGATCCGATTAGTTGAGGTGGTCCTCTTATTTCCAGAAAGGTATACTTAACATTCCACACTGAGGATGTCACAGTCATGAGATCTTTATGCCATCTGGTCTGAGTTAGGTATAGGACAATAAAGGAGGCAGTTAATCCATAACAAACATCAGTAATTGGAAGAGGGGAATGTCTGGTCTCTGTCTCCTAGGCATTTACAGAACAAGACAGCGAGGAAGACAGTTAATCTGTAATCTTAAGAAGCAGAACTGCAAACATGCTACATGACTCAGTCTTCAGGGCTTAACTCCTCCCTTGGCATAAAAAATGTAGAGTGTTATGAAATTTTATTTTCCTTCACATGACACATTTTTGTCTTTTTGACTATTTTGTTCAGAGTTTATCATTGTTAACTAGCAAAATATTTTTCTGTAACACAATTTTATTGGCTGCATACGCCATTGTATGATCTACGAGAGTTTATTTTACCAATCCACTATTATCAGGCATTTAAATGTTTCTATTTGTTTCTATAAATAACGAACAAGAAGAAGATCTCAGCGTCTTCCAGGTGGCTGCCATGACTGGGTGGCAGCACCACGGCCCTTCACATGCTGCGCCCTACACGAGGTGTCCCTGGGGCACAGCGTGTGCTGTGCTGCGGTCATGTCCAGAGCCCCGGGACGACGTCAGGGAAAGGAGGATATGAAGGGCTTGGAGGATCCCAGTGAAACTGAGCTGAAGGCTCAGAACTAAATAATTACTTGTTAATGCTGAACTTATTAGTTGTGCCCTAATCATTTGTCATGGACAAGTACCCAATTTCCCCCAAAATAAGCCCTACCCATAAAAGAAGCCCTAGCAGATTTCTAAGCATTTGCACAATATAAGCCCTACCACAAAATAAGACCTAGTGATGGGTATGGCCACGCAGCACATCTGCACAACCCATGCATTTGGTCACGGAGCGGGAAAGAAGACAAGCAGCCCTTCTCATCTGCCGCATAAGAGCTTATTGCTCGACATGAGAGATTGGGGCCAGTGGTTCTAAAGGGAATAGAGTCACAAGAAATTCAGAATGGAATTTGGGGTTTGGAGAGTTATGATGATGTTCCAGAAGAAGACAACTTGACTATATTTGAATAAATGTAGATTGTTGTGCCATACTTAAAAATAATAACACATCCCCCAAAATAAGCCCTAGGGTGTCTTCTTGAGGAAAAATAAATATAAGACCCTGTCTTATTTTTGGGGAAACACGGTAGTCCATGTTGGTGCCACATACATACCAAACTTGCCGGCTCATTTCTTCTTTTATTTGTTTTATGGTTATGTGCTTTTTCCTCTCTCAATCCCTTTCACCTGTCTGATCATACCAGCCCCTTTCTCTTCTGCTGTTCTCAGTACTTAGCTCTAGCCAATCTGCACACATCATGCCACACGCTAGCCACATGGAGATGACGGTTTGATGACAGGGCATTTGACAAAACCTTGGCTTGGGAAGAGAAGACTGTCCTTTACTTCTGATTTTCATTTAGGAAGACTCTCCTGCTGGGGAGAGCTTGGGTGAGAAGAGAAGGAATCTTCACAGTCAATGAAGTGATTATAGTTTCCTTGCTCACCTGGATATTTTAGGGATTCTTATTTTCCTTGAGAAAACTTTGGATATGAGACTTTTAAAAAATTATATGTTTTTATATTTTTTCCTAGGATAATATTTTGACTGAAATTTTATATGTAGGGCTATAAAAATAAAAAATAAAAATAAAATCCCATCTGTTGGAAAGAAAGAAAAAGAAAGAGAATGAAAGAATAAAGAGAAAGAAAGACAGGAAGAGAAGCAAAGAAAAAAAAAGGGAGGAAGGAATGATGGAAGGGGCAGAGGAAAGAAGCTCCCAGAACGCTAAGAGCGGGAGTGAAGGGGGGCGTGCCTCTCCTGAGCCTTGTCAGTCGCTGGATGGAGCCAGCTGGGTCCCACAAACAAAATCCATGGTTGTTTTTCTAATGAGTGTTCACATCATATTCTTACAGGTGACCAAACTGTTAGAATGGTTAATGCCTCATATACACAGTTTTAGATCTTTCATCTCTCCATCTGTCAGGGAAAGAACTGGCAAGGGTAGGGTGAGTCATATTATAGTAATTTTTTCTGGTCTGGTACTATTGTCCTAGCAACATGAACATCAGGGATGTTCTATCTGCTTGGGCAGAAAGTTTCTCCTTATGGTCTTTTATTATTATTTTTAGTAAACTTTATTCATTTATTTCTCTTTGAGACAGGGTCTTGCTCTGTTGCCTGTGCTAGAGTGCAGTGGCATCATCACAGCTCATGGCAACCTCAGACTCCTGGGCTCAAGTAATCCCCCTGCCTCTGCCTCTGGAGTAACTGGGACTACAGGCTAGTGCCACTACACCTGGCTAAATTTTCTATTTTTTGTAGGGACAGAGTTTCTCTATGTTGCTCAGGCTGGTCTCCAACTCTTGGCCTCAAGCAATCATCCTGCCTCGGCCTCCCAAAGTACTGGGATTACAGGTGTGAGCCACTGCACAGCCAGCTAGTAAACTTTATATACTCAGAATCAGTTCTTCAGAAAAACTGAGGATTAACTAAGATTGATTTCATTTGTAGTGGGTCTTGTCAAATGTGGGATTCCTCTTACTGCCTTATTAACAAAAACAAAGACAGTGAGATAGCTGGATACAACCTAACCAGATTCATAAAGTAACACACAAAAGAAATTATAAGTTGGCTATCATGGATCTCACTAATGTAAAGTTTATTGTTACCACTGCCAATGGGGTACCCGTGGCTTTTCTGGGTTCACAGATTCTTCAGACATTTTATCGGCTACTACTGATATAGTACCTTCTGGTATAATCAAGTGGCACTGCAAAGGGTCAAGGCTGCTGAAAGTTGTGCATTTTGACGAGGGGTTATTTAAATCTGAAAAACATTTTCCCCATAAATTAAATTTATAAAACCTTTTCTAATAACCATGACAACCTAAACCTATACCTTTGGACAAGCTGTGGGAACATGATTAGGAAGACATGAAGACTGAGCCTACTACTATGACTGCTCTGGTTTCTGAGATATTTATCTTAGGAACTTCAGCCAGTGCACTTGCAATCTTGTTATCTTTTGCATCTTGTGATATGTAGTGCTGAGAAATATCTAGATAGACTCAGGAGCCCCTGCTATATCTACACAAAGGCATCCTACATGTCCTCTTCAGGTTTGACATCAGCATGTCAGTTAAATGCTCACACTATATAAAACCTGATGACTCAAATAGGGCTCAAGAACAGTAATTAAGAGTGTTGGCTCTGAGGCTGGACTGCTGGGTCTGAATAGCAGCTCTGCTACTTACTGGCAGTGTAGGTAACCATGGGCAAGTTGCTTAAGCTCTCTGTGCCTTAGTCTTCTCATCTGTAAAATAATGATAACAACAGTAAGGGTTAAATGAGATAAGACATTTGAAACTTAGTAGGATGCTTTAATATATATTAAATGCTCATTAAGAAGTAGTTATTGATATTATTAATAATTATTATGCAACCTATGTTGTCCATAACTTCTTAATCACTCTCAGATATTAAGGTGATCCAAGTGTTTGCACAGTTCTTATAGGGGACTGACATATATTTTCCTAGTTTAAGAATTAAATTTAGTGAGTAATGTACGTGTTCTGCCCAGAGCGTTTGAAAGTAATGTGTTCTAGACAAGGCCCTTGTTACAAACACAGTTGCTGCCTAGAGGCATAACAATAGACCTGAGTTTCTGCATTGAGGCAAGAGCTGCCCAGCCCCATGATAATTGGAGGTCTGGAGGCCACACAATAAGCACATTGTTCTTTTGATTGCTGCTTAATCCCATTAGATGGCTGGTTAGTCAATGATGGGTAAGACCCCTCAAGGGAGGGGTGACCTAAACCATGCACAGCCGCAGGGGATCGGCCTAAGAGGAACTGCATATGAAAAATGCTCCCAGTGGCGGCCTTGTCCAACCTTGCTAATCTCTGTGATCTATGCCTGGTGCCTCAAGCAACTGCCTGGAAACCTTGAGTCAGGAGACATCTGTGTTCTTAGGCTACGTGTTCCGGAATTTATGGCTATCGCTGCCACGCCTGGGTGGGCACGTACAAGGAACTAACTTTGATTTTGGGGGTATAAAAATAAAACAACTGGTGCGTTCTGCACTGCAGTCTTATAACCGTCTTTGTGTATCTGTGTGTCTTTTTGTGTTCTGTGTTCATCCTCCATCCTGTAAACAGGCCACAACAGTTCTATTGTGGTTGGTGCTCTTTGGGGTCTGTCTGAGATGTCACTGCCCATCTCAAGGCTAGGCAGATGTTTCCATATACTATCATCTGAAAGCTTTATTCTTTTACCTTTCAAACTTATATCTACAATCCACCTGGAATTATTTGTGTGCATGGCACGAAGAAGGCTAGTTTTCATTCTTTTCCAGTTGAATATTCCATTTTTTTTTTTTTTTTTGAGACAGAGTCTCGCTTTCTTGCCTAGGCTAGAGTGAGTGCCGTGGCGTCAGCCTAGCTCACAGCAACCTCAAACTCCTGGGCTCAAGCGATCCTCCTGCCTCAGCCTCCCGAGTAGCTGGGACTACAGGCACGAGCCACCATGCCCGGCTGATTTTTTTTTATATTATATATATTAGTTGGCCAATTAATTTCTTTCTATTTTTATGGTAGAGATGGGGTCTCGCTCAGGCTGGTTTTGAACTCCTGACCTTGAGCAATCCGCCCGCCTCGGCCTCCCAGAGTGCTAGGATTACAGGCGTGAGCCACCGCGCCCGGCCTGAATATTCCATTGATCCAGTGCCGTTGCCTTCACTCATTGTTCTGCACTGCCCACTCTGTGCTGAGTCAAGTGGACATGCACATGGAAGTCTGCTTCTGTTCGCTGCTTGTTCTTTCTTCTGGTCCGTTTGTCCAGACTTTCCCCAGTACTGTTATAACTGTCATTATGTAGTTAGTCTTGAAGTTAGGTAGAAAATTCCTATTGCTTAGTTCTTCTCCTCCAAGATTGTTTTGCCTATTGTAGGTTATTTGCAAGTCCATATACAGTCCCAAATCTCCTTGTCAGTTTCATAAAACAACAACAACAACAACAAAATACCAACACAACCTTCTGGGATTCTGATTGGGATGATTTTGATTCTATAGATTATTCTGGAAAGAACTGACATTTTTATAATACTAAGTTTTCAAATCATATATTTATTTAGATTTTTAAAATTTTCTTTCAATACTGCTTTATGGCTTTCTGTACAGAGGTCTTGCATATCTTTTATTAGATTTATTCCCAGGCATTTGAATTTTTGATGATATTGTTTTCTGTTTGTTGCTGGTATATAAAAATATAATTTGTATGGGGACTATCACCAAAAGACATCACATAAGGATGTAAAGGGAAGCCCTAGGCTGGGAGAAGGTATTTGTAGCACCTTAACTTGAAAGAGGGCTTTTCTAGACTATGTAAAGAACTCCTACTACAAAGAAAAAAACATAAGACAATGGAAAGAATAGGAGAGTCCTGAAGTGATAATTCACAACAAAGGATATTGAAGTGCCTAACAAACATGAAAATTGTTCAGCATTCTAGATCCTCAGAGAAGCACAAATCAAAATCACATAGTGGGATTCTACTGCACACTCAGCAGAAAGGTAAATTTAAAAAGAATTTTAATACCAAATGTTGGCAAGAGTGTGGAGTAATAGGAAACTCTCATATACTATGGGTAGAAGTGTAAGCTGGTATAATTTCTTTTTTCTTTTTTTTTCTTTTTTTTTTTAGGCTGGCCAAGTGAAGCAGTGGGAGTGGAGAAGGAACAAATAAGCCGGTATAATTTCTTTCACAAACCATTTGGCAGTAGCTACTACAGTTAAATTTATACATACTCTATGATCCCCAGTTTTGTGACTAGGTATATACACACAACAAAAATACATGTATGTGCCAAAAGACACCTACAGGAATATTTGTAGCAGGATTGTTTGTATAGCCCCAAACTGAAAACAACCAAAATATCCATTAATTTTCAAATAGATATATAAATTACACTATAAGCATATATGATATAGCTGAAAAATGGTCCCCCTAAGATACCAAGTCCTAATCTCTGGAACCTGTCAATGTTACCTGACTAGGAAAAACTGTCTTTACAGCTATGATTAAGCTAAAGCTCCTGAGATGGGGACATTATCCTGGATTATGTGGGTGGACTCTGGGTGTCATCACATGTGTCCTTACTGGGAAGACAGGAGGATATTTAGTACACACAGAAGAAGAGGAGGCAACATGGCCAAGGAAGCAGAGGCTGAGTGATGTGTCCACAAGACAAGGAACGGGGGCAGGGAGCTAGCAGAGTTAAAGGTTCTCCCTCACAGCCTCAGGGGAAGTGAGGCCCTGCCCACACCGTGGCTAAGGCATAGTGACACTGATTTTGCATTTTTGACCTCCAGAACTGTGAGAGAATAAATCTCTGTTGTTTTAAGCTACTAAGATAGTAAACTGTTATAGCAGCCATGGTAAACTAATACACCATGCAATGATATATAAAAAACAAATAAAAATAAATGAACTACTCTACACATATCATGGATGGATCTTAAAAAATAATGGCGATTGAAAGAAGCCAGTGTCAAAGGGGAACACACTGTACGATTCCAGTTACTCAAAGTCCATAACAGTCAAAACTCACCATGTCATTAGAAGGCAGGACAGTGGTTCCCTTGGAGAGGGGCTCATGGCCAGGAGGGGTCTGAGGGTCCCTGGGGTTCTGTGATATTCAGTTTTTTTAACTCTAGGGCAGTGCTCACTTTGTGATGATTCTTTGAACTGTAATATTATAACTTATGCTCTTTCTGCATGTGTGTTTCCCTTCAACAATTTATTTTTTAAAACCCCAAAAAACTAAAGGAAATCTGGCATACTCATGTTGGACACAAGCCTTCCTCACCCGGAGTGGGAATGCGGCCACCATCTGTTCCTTCGTTCCCTGCCTCACCCCCCCAGGCCTACCCTCCTCTGTGATGCTGTTCTCCATGCAGATGGCAGCTGTGCTTTCTGGGGGTGGGGACAGTGTCCACCTTTGTCCTTTATCACAGAGCATCTCCCACCAGCTGCCCAGCAACCCTCACCCAGGTTACTGCTCAAGGTGGGGCTCGCCCTCTCTGGCCCTGTGCCTAGGGGCCGAGGGCTCCTGCCCTCCTCCAGCACCCGTGCTCCACACTGGGGCAGCTTAATTCCTCTTCACAGCCCCTGGAGCTTCACAGATCTGGACGAGTGAAGAAGTAACCCCCTTGGGCTCTCGGGCACACCCCACAGTGGGCCCTTCTCATGGGCCTGGGCTCCTCTGGGGAACTTCTCACCTGCAGAAAGCATCAGCCAGGGAAAGAGGGGCCCATTTTCTTTTAGGTACCTACAATCTCCAGAAATGACTCTTCCAGCACCTCCCTCCTCTCTTGGCTTTGGGACAGGGTAGTGTGCGAGAGAAGCAGAGCATCTTCCTGCCCACAGAAGAAGAGAGAAGCCTCTTGCCACCAGTGCTGGGCACAATCACAGAATGACTATGCCTTCTGGCGAGGCAGGTGGAGGGATGCAGTTGAGAAAGTCTCTTTTCAGTCCAGGGGTTCAGGGGGCTATCTTACTCTGGAGGTAGAGGAGGTAGTGAGCATCTTTCTGTCCTCAGCTGTACACCTTAGTCACCAATTCCGGGACAAACGGGACTCAGTGATCTGTCATCCCAAGGTGCGCTGCCCCAATTTTTGCAGACGAATGCTGGAAAGATGGGTTCAAGCCAAGCATGCAGGCAATTGTTCTGCTCCCTGAAGTATCCAAGGACACCTGGAAGGTTGGCTCTGTTGGATTCAGAAACAATAGGCCAAAATTAAGGCCTCAGAAGCAAAATGGTCCCTTGTCCTCCTGCCTCTTGGTTCCATTCTTCCCTGAGACTAGCCATAGAAACTAGAATCCCTCTTCCCCAAGGCAGGTCATAAAAGCCAGAATCTGCTTTTCTGAAAGCCAGCCATAAAGCCTAAAATTATTCTGTGTAAAAACTGGCTGTAAAAAATTATCTGACCTACCCTGTTTGACTGTCAGTCATAAGACCCCCATTCCAGAGAGGGGCCTGCCCTACACCGTGGAGGAAGGATGCTGCTCAGACACCCTAAGAAGAATCTGGACAGATAGGCCTTGCTGGGTTTCCCCATTCAGTCTGTTAGCATCAGATCACACTCTTTTTGTCCAATCACATTTCTGCATGGCTGTCCACAGTTCATTGAACCTAAGCATAAAAATGGACAATTTTCCCTGTATGTTGGGTCTTCATTCTGAAGGCTCTCATGTAGACAGGTTAAATAAATATGTTTGCCTTTTCTCCTACTAATCAATATGCCCCATGCCTTCAGGGCGGTAAGGGACTTGGTCTCGATAGCTCCAATCCTTGGTAACTTCTGTATTTTAATAAGCTTATACATTTTTGTCTGGTTGGAAACTAGCTATAGTTTATAACTGGAGGAACAAACTATCTTTATATTCCTTGATCCCTGAAGGTTAGCTTGTAATTGAGGATAACAAACCCCCATTCTACCCTCATTCATCCATATTCTTACCCTGGGAAGGTGAAACTTTTGTTTTTCTTCATAATTTTTGGTCATTGGCAATTCTTATTTCCTGCCAGGACCATTTTCCTCTAATAAAGTGAGTGATGTCCCATTATCAGTCCCTACGCCAATATTTTGCTGAAAGTACTCACCTGACTCAACACTCTGCCTAACAATAGGGTTTGGCCTGAGGTACACTGGTCACTGCAGAAGATAATTGGGTTAGTTTTCTCAACCTTTGTCATGTCATCTTCTATCTGAAATATAATAATTGCAAAGCTAGAATCACATTTTCAAACCTCTTGCTGGATGTAAATTGGGTTCTGACAACATGAGGCAGTGACACGAGGTCTGGATGGCCAGCGTTAGCGGAGGCCCCGCTGTCTCCAGGTCTCCCCGTCGTTGCAGCGCGTGGGGCTGGCGACCGAGGCCGCTGTGAAGGCTCACCCCATGTCTATGTCCATTTCTCAGCTTGTGGGAAGGCAAAAGGCAGTGGCTGAACTGGATCTTCTTTTCTTTTTCTTTCTTTTTAAATTCAAGTATAGTTTACCTAGAGTAATGTACACAAAGCTTAAAGAATTATTACCTATGTTTATGCTTATTTAACTACCACCCACATCAGGATACAGAGCATTTCCAGTATTGGGAAAATATAATTAAAAACAAACTCTCCTGCTAATCCAGAAAACCTCTTGACAAGATTAGAAGGGAAAGAAACCAATTTTATTATTGAATAAACACTAAGCCATAATGTTATGTACATCACAGGGAATCCACTAAAGAGACAGAAGCAGCCTCACCCTTTCCTACAACCAGGCACACCCAGCGAAACCTGGGGAGTTAGTCCTGAACCATATCATGGAGGGCAAGCGGCTGGACGACCTGTGCAGCAGCATCACTCATGGCCGGTTCCGGGAGCAGAAGTTCCGGCTAAAGCGCTGTGGCCTGGAGCGCCGGATATACCTGGTGGAGGAGCAAGGCTCAGTCCACAACCTCAGCCTTCCTGAGAGCAAGCTGCTGCAAGCTGTCGCCAACACTCAGGGCATCGATGGCTTCTTTGTGAAGCGCACAGCAGACAGTAGGGAGTCAGCTGCCTACTTGGCCCTCTTGACACGGGGCCTGCAGAGACTCTGCCAGGGACACACTGTACGCAGCCGCCCCGGGGAATCCCAGGGGATCCTGAATCAGGGGCTGGGCCCTCCCCAAACCCTCTCTGCTCACTCCTCACCTTCAGTGACTTCAACGCAGGAGCCATCAAGAACAAGGCCCAGTCAGTGCGAGAGGTGTTTGCCCGGCAGCTGATGCAGGTGCGCGGAATAAGTGGAGAGAAGGCAGCAGCCCTGGTGGATCGATACAGCACGCCTGCCAGCTTTCTGGCCGCCTATGTTGCCTGTGCCAGCTCCAAGGAGCAGGAGACACTGCTGAGCACCATCAAGTGTGGGCGGCTGCAGAGAAATCTGGGACCCGCTCTGAGCAGGACCTTGGCCCAGCCCTACTGCAGCTGCAGCCCCCTGACCTGAGCTTATGCCATAAGACAGACCCCCAACCGCTCTGTCCCCCGACCCCTCAGGCTAGCCAACCTTTAACCAGGATCTTTTGGGCTATAATAAAAATCTAGCTGTTTGCAACCTTACATGTTGTGGAGGCTATGCCAGGCCCCAGGAGCCTTATAAAATACACAGGAGCTAGGGAAACCATCTGGTCCAGTGGTTTTTAAACCAAGCTCCTGAGGACCTGGGGTTCCCTGGACAGGGAGGTGGAATCAGTGGGTCATCACAACTTTGAATCTATTTTATGTAATCAGATAGTCCCTGATGAAATAAAACTTCCTTTGATAAAACACACACACACACACACACACACACACACACACACACACACACACACTTGCTCTGTGTGAGATGATAGCTAGTCCCTGAGTAAGAGGACTTGACAACACCATTTGTCACACACAGTTCGTCTGACATTCACCTGGTAATTGGGGTAGCCACCTGTGTTTCCTAATTGCTTTTATCCAAAAACAAACAAAAACAAAAACAACCTTGGAGCCAGGTGCCTCTTGAAGTTGGGCACCTACCCTCCCATGGAATTTAGGGCATGGAGTGTTATCTTCTTTGATGTTTACACTTTAAAGAGATGGCTCTGGAGTCCTTGAGAAAAGCACCCTTGAGTTGTAAAACTCAAAGGAAGCTTATTTAGTTATTAAAAAGATTTGCATACAACCCAAAGGGAGAGAGAAAGAATTTACAATGACAAATTCTCTAAAATAAACCTAAGGATGGTGGGTGTCTCTTTTGCTTCTTGCATCAGGGAAAATTCAAGCTTTCTTTTTTTTAGATTTGTATTTCACCTTACACCAGCACCCGAGAAAGCTCTCTCACGCCTCTTTGTTCTGGGGCCGCACCCCTCGAGGCGCCTTCCGAGGGACCGGCCTGGGAGCGCTCCCAGCTGCAGACGGGCGGCTCCACGCAGGCGCTCGCGTGGCGCCCGGCCTCGCGGAGACCGGCCTGCGCCCGCCCGCTCCACGTCCCTGCGGCGAAACGCGGCGCCCGGGCCGTGCAGTGTGCCAGGGCCCGGCCCCGGGCGTCCCTGCGTCCCCGCGCCGCCCCGCGCACGCCCGGGGACCACGCGCCCGGCCCGCGTCCTCCGTGGTCCGGCTTGCGGACCTGCGGGCCTAGCTGCTTCCTGGTCCTGTTTGCCAGTGTTTTGTGGTTTGTCGGTAAGCACTGTTCCATTCCACGCGTAAGCCATCATTGATTGACCCGCTCTCTGCGGCGGCGCGCGTAGTTTCCCGCCGGGATCTCAGGGCCCCTGCGGTGGCTGGATCCTCTCTGCTGGTGCCGCTGGTTTTCTCGGCATGGCATCCTTGCAGAAGGCCTTGAACCTGCGTCTCCAGCTCTTTCAACAGCTGTTACCAAACTCCCACGTTAAATCCCCGGTCCATTCAAGTACCTGGGGTGGTTTCTGAGCCTGGAATGATATGAGGACTGAACTCTAATTTTTTTGCTAAAAACTCCTTCCTAAGGAGGCCAGCTGGGTCAGGCTGACAAATGGTAAACTCCCACTAAGCGGCTTTTGTTAACCAAACGAAGCAGTGGTTTACTTCCTGACCTGATTCTGGTATGGCATTAACATCACCTGAAAGATAAGAAGCCCCTGTCTTAACTCAAGCATCCTAGCAGATGCCTATTGTAAATTTAAAATGTCCTCGGGTCTGGACCTCCCAGAGTGCTCAAACCCTTATCTTAAAGTGAGCATATCCTTTCTGGTCTTCTAGATAAAGTCTAACTCTCTCAGCCAATTGCCAGCCAAAGAATCTTTAAGCCCACCTATAACCTGTAAGCCCCCCCCCCTTCGAGATGTCCCACCTTTTTGGGCCAAACCAATGTATGCCTCTCATGTATTGATTTGTGACTTTGCCTGTAACCCCCGTCTCCCTGAAAATGTATAAAACTGAACTGTAACCCAGCCACAGCGAGCCCACTTGCCCAAGGCCTCTTGGCAGTGGCTCCGGGTCATGGTCCTCAAATTTGGCTCAGAATAAATCTCTTTAAAATTATTTTACAGAGTTTGACTTTTTTCCGTCGACAGATATAAGCAGTAATTTCAAAGCTTTATCTGGATCTTTGTATAGGCAGGGCCTGTTCTGTTGCTTAAACTGTGTAGCGATGGCTCTGTTTCCTCAGACCGCCAGCTTCTGAGTGTGGTCTGAGAGCCTTAGGTGACCACAGGGCCCCTGGCAGTTTGCAGGATTGTGGGCTCTGCTCTGTGCAGATTCTTTGTGTTTAAGAGATGACTCATCTTCTCCAATATGAGATCCTAAAATCAAGTCTCTAAAAATGAATATTTGTCCTTGGGAGAGTGTGTGCGTGTGTGTAGGGGATATGTGTGCATATTTAAGCAAATTACTTTTTGTTGGATGACTGGGAATAATGGAAAGTCTTGTACTCTGATGAGAAAATCTAAAGAGCTTTTGGCTTGTGAAAATAAAGAAAATCTAAAAGCTGTTGGAACCCCACCCCAATACACTTGAGCCTTGTGAGAGATGTGGCTATGATCTGAGTCACATATGGTTACAACTTCTGTTCTCAGATTATAGATTACCTCCCTTTGTTAGGTTTCTCCTGTACAATGACTAGAGAGAATTAAATGACATCAGGGGCTAAACTCCTGCTGCCTTAATTTGTGACCCGTGTTGTAGGTTAACTTCCCTTTTGTTGTCCTGCTTTGCTTAGGCCAGGTGACAGAAAACCCATGACTACTATACCCTCTGTAAAAAAATGGTACATGTACCTTTTCCCCAAAGAAACACTGCCTGTGACCCATCAAACTGCTGTAACTATGCACAAACCTTGTATGAATAATGTTGCAATCCTGCTAAAACTCCTCTGTATCTGCCCATATAAAGGAAACCCTAACTCGCCTACTTCAGAATGCTGACTCCACTCCTTTGGAGTTGGTGTTCTGGGTGATCCATCCTCACACTTTGTGTTTCAATAAATTCCCTTTAAATTAGATTCTGACCCTTTTGATTATTTTAGGTTGACAGCCTTTATGTGCCAAAGCTCATGTACTTTAGCAATGTTTTGCTGAAGACTCCTCCCCAGAAACTTGGTATTGTTAGAATATCATTAAATTGGACTTTGGGAAGCAGACTCATGTGGTGGTTATAGAATAGACTGGTGGGTGAGGAAATAGATCCTAGGATGACACCAATTCCAGAAGCAGGTGACTTAGTCTGGACTCCCACCAAGGCAGTCTCTCAGGTGCAGCTAGTTTGGTTGGAAAGAGGCTCTCAGGAAGCAGATGTAGGGAGAGGAGGTAAGCCAATGAGGGTGTACTTTGAACTGTAATTGCCGTGGGCAAGTGGGGATCAATCCATCAGGGCATGCTTTGGGGAACCAGGTAGAACGTGCCCAGGAAGTGCAGGCATCTGTCCATGGGTGCCCTCTTCATGGCGTGAGTGTTGCTCCCAGGGGTGCTTGTGCCTCTGCTCCTGAGCCTGGGCCAAGGGTCTTTCCAGGCTGGCACAGCAAAGCAGTAGGAGAGAGACAGAGTGCTGGTGGCTGTGTGGTTCTGCTTCAGCGAAGGTGGAATCTAAGGAGCCACACATGCAGTGTGGGGCGGGGCCTCAGAAAGTGAGCAGGGTCACCCAGGGGAGGTCCTTGGAGGGAAGCCAAGTTCTGAGGACAAGGAGCTGGGCTGGAAGATGGGACGTGTGCTGAAAGAATCTCCTAAGACAAGTTTACCTTTTACTTTGTTTGCTTGGTTTTCCTATGTACTGTGGGACTAGTGCTCAATGTTTGAATATTTTCTAGCTAGTGTCAAACATCTATATTACAGTTACTTAACTTCACCTACTATTAATATTTTGCTACATTTTCATTGGCTGTATGTATATCTATATGTATCTATATTATATATATAAAAAACTGCTAAACAATTTGAAAGTCATGACACTCTTAGTATTTCAGCAGGCTTCTTCTAAGAATAATGTTCTACATAACCACAATGTTGCTGTCATATCTATAGAAAAAATTCAATAATATCACATAATTGAGAAACTGTATTTAAATTCTCTAATTTTCTCAAGGATGTCATTTAAAGCTTTTTTTTTTAAATCCTAGATCCAATTAAGTTCACACATTGAGGAGGGCTTAGGGATGGACCCATTAGTTTGTAGTCTGGAACTTTCCCCTTGCTGTTTCTTGTTTTTTATGGTGTTGACTATTTTTGAAGAATCCAGGCCAACTGTCTTATAAATTATTCATATTCTTCATTTGCCTGATAGTTTCCTCATGAAAAGATTCAAGCTTAACAGTTCTGGTAAGAGGACTGCACAGAAGTTATTGTGTATATCTTGTGCACCCACCACGAATTCCGAAATGTTGTGTCTCTCCACTGTTGGTGGTGTCAGATGTGTCACCTCGACAAGGGACCAGCTGATTCCTCAATTCTAAAACATTTTCCTCATTGTGATGAGTAATTAATCTGTGTTATCTGTGGTTGATCATTTTTGTGTATAATATCCTGCCTCCAATAACATTTTATTCCATGGTTTTATTTGATAATCTTTGTATCAATCAATTATCCCTTTGGGGTGCTGCTTGAAATTCTATCATTTTTTAAAAATTTATTCCCTGGCTGCAAAGAAGAGCTTCTCTTTCCTCTGCCTTTTCTCTTTTTTTCTATTTTTGAGTGTTATATAGATTCATGCAATTTTTATTGTTATGACCCATTATTGTTATTCTTTTTGGCAAACTGACCTAGTTTTAGACAGTGGGAGCTTCTTCCAACCAATGTTGTTTTTCCCATCATAAATGCTACTGAGGTGCAATAAATATAGAAAAGCAAGTTCTGTATCCCTTCAACCTGACACATCCATTTTTGAGCACTTCCTTGTGTTCTGGCAAAATGAGATAATATATCCCAGGCTCACCTTGGACTTCCACAGTCCCAGACTAGAATCTACCTAGAACCTAGACATTCTACCAAAGAGTCCAGGTTCCTCTTGCGGGGAAACAGCATTTAGAGACCAAGTTCAGGGTCCTAGATGTGCTCATTGCTCCTAGGCCATTTCAGAATACAGACTGAAAAAATAAATGTATAGTATTTTGAAATGGTGATAAGGACTATGGAGAAAACATAAAACAGGCAACAGGGTCCAGGGCAACAATTTCAAAGCGAATGAAGGAATTAAGCACACATTAAGGAGTAGGGCAGAGAGAGGAAGTGCTGTGCTTCCACACGCACCCTCACGGTGGGCGAGACAGCAGCATTGTGTTGAGGGGTGCAGAGGCAACAGCAGTTTTACTGGCAGTGGGGT